TTTTTTATCTTTATGCGTTATCTAGATAAATAAAAATTATCATCTTAATATTTTAGACGGAATGTTTGGTCGTCTTTCAGACACCGGTAACGACGATATGGGGTACCGAAGAACTCGAGGTATTTTATCGAAATTTCAGCGATTCAGCTCGTTTATTTCATTATCTTTTAAAACTCGAGAATTTATTGTTCTTATTTGTAGGATTTTAGGAAAACGTGTTTAATTTTTTTTATCGCCTACTTCAATTAGTATATAATAGGTACGATTATATAAAAACGCTATTTTTTCCAGATAATAATAATAATAATAATAATAGAAAAAATGCACGTCGTCGTTGTAGACTTGTAGAACTATCATACAATATATTATGCCTAAACTTCGCTCAGATAACGACGAGAATCTAAAATATCCAAAATACCAAATATTATTATTATTATACTATTATATTTACATCTTAATAATATTCGTAATAATCTTAAATATTCCGAATACCGCCGTCGGCGAATTCTTTCGATATTGGAAGGGATGCGGAGATCACGAGATTAAAAAAAAAAACCATAAACAACCAATATTTTTCTTCGAAAATGTTCCAGCCATTAAAATATAATATTTCAGCGCAAAAGTTTAGGTTTAAAAAGAAAAACAACAGTAAAAAAAAACATTAAAAATGTAAAAATTGCCTCAATTTAATGTTAATAATAACAGTAATATCGAAATTATCGAAATGGACGCGAAAAACTTAAAATTAAAAAATAAAAAATTATTTAACCATTTCAAACGCCAGCGTAAATATACAATAGTCTTGGCCCGTGTTCCCTGGATTCCCGAAAATGTCTATTCGGTCGTAAATTTAGCGATAATTTGATGATAAATTCGAGTAGCTTCCGCAATAATAACAATTACCTTGGATTATCACGAGAATAAAGTGATTAGCAAATTTATAAAAAATATATTTTTAGGAAAATACCGCTTTTAGAGTACAGTTTTTTTGGATCGTCGATCCGTATTGTAATAGATATCCCCGAATCCCACGTCCACTCGGCTTTCGGACAAATCGTAAACGTGTAATCGGAAATATACGTTAATCAATAAAATAATAATTGTGGCAGGTTCGTGTTCGGAAATCGATTTTAAACGGAAAACGCTCTCATAACTAACGTCGAAACCGGGTTTCCTTGCCCCCCACCCCCTCACACCCCGGCGTTGAATCCAACGAAACAATGTCGGCCCATTTTATTTCACGAAACGAATTCTCGATATTTTCGCGTTTCGACTCGACCCGGTTTTACACACGTAATCGACGAGTAACGGTTGGTACGTACCTGCCGACGGAACGCCGAAATCTGCGAAATTTTCCTATAAAATCGTTTGTCCCCGTTCGTAAACGAAAATGACGCGCGGTTTCTGCAGCTAACGCGCATTCAGATTGTACCCGACACAATATTATAATTATTATAATAATACCGGAATTTCGCGTTTTTCAAAATTTACGCGTCGTTTCCGGCCGGAACTATTGTACACGATTGCATAACAGTCGACCGGAAAAGTCGGCGTTCAACTATAGCGGCGTAGACGACTGAAAAGAAATCACGAGATTTTCCGGGGAAAACGTTTGTTTTTTTTTTCTAATTTCATTTTTAAGTCGGCGTGCAACACGACAGCGAATATTGTCGCGGTGCCCGACACCGTCGGATACGATTAACGGGTATACAATAATAGAGAAAAAAAAAAAAAAATTCTATCAATATTTATTTTTACCAGTCTCCTAACTCGGACTGACCCTACGTGACCAAAAGTGAAACAATAAAATAAATAAAATAAAAAAAATGTAAAAAAAAAAAAAAAACGAAAAAAAAAAACCAATTATATTATTATAATAATATAAAATAGAGGTACCTACTTGACGGTCGGGCGTTTCTCGTCGGGGCGAACAGCGAGTCGGTACTGAACACATGCGAGACACGCCGCGCGACCACCCGACGAATATTTCGGGTGGCGCAAGCGCCCCGGCGACACTTTGCGACCGCGACGCTCGCCACCTTATTCGACGCCGCCGCAGCGTTCGCGTCCGGTCAACAAGTCACCCGGCGCCCGTCCTATACGCGGGCACGGCGTCACTCTCTCTCCGCCCTCTCGGCGTCGCCCGGGGACACAATACGCCCCCCTAAGACACCCCCTACGCGACACCCCCTCTCGTCCCGGAAGTCGTTAGGGTATAGGTACGATATCGTCATAGTCCGCGAATCGGCATCGCACGGTCAACATTACATTATGCATGGTGTTGTTACACTTTCCGAAACGTTTGGCGCGCGCATCGTCGATAAACGTCGAACATTTTAAAAACGTTCCGTTTCGAATTATTCGACAAACACTTTCGCATCGGAATTCTCGTCTACAAATATCGCGCACAATAACGCATTGTGTGGACCCGCCGAGTTCAAACTTGCGTTGACGAATCACGGTTTGGGTAGACGTTCGTGACGAATCCGAACTGTAATCGGGCGATACGATTCGGATTCCGGATTGAGCATTCGGCATATTTTCGGCAAATAATTCGATCGATTTCGCGATCAACAGAATTGAAATTCTAATCGCGTGACGTAATTATACGCCGCATACAGATGTGGCGAATTATGCTGCGGTTCTGTGAATGCCACGCCTGATCATTTAAGCGGTCGAATAATATTACATCGCGCTTCGTACGCAATACGATTTAAGGAAATCGCATCGTAGTTATTAAAAATCAATGGTAAAGCGAAATTTTAATGAACTCGAACTGTTGTTCAAGACTATCGAAACGCGTTCACGAGCACAGTTAGGTTTTATGTTCACACGATAACTACTTAATGATAGTGTTAATATTTTAAACGAACGTTCCGAGAACCGGTACGTTTTTATTTTGTGCGCGGCGATTTAATTGCGTTTTTCGTTAATCAATTTGTGTGGCATGACGACCGACAACGCCGTGGGAGTTTTTCGGAAATTTTTCTCTGTGCGGCCCGAACCTATTAAAATAGAACGATATTCAGACATTTCGCGCTTCGCACTGGCCACCGGAGGTTTTTTTACTGATGTCATGTAAACGCAGCACTTAGTGATATTCATTTGTATTCATTGGCGTATTTTTAATGCTATAAAAAAAAAAAAAAACCAACTTGCGAACGATACAACATTGTTTGAGACGATGGGGCCTGTTTACAATGAACCGGTGAACGCATAATACAGATTCGAAAATCTCGATAACATAACGACAATTACAATTTCGTTCGAAAACGTCGCGTGTCCATACCGAAAGAAATATGTATATATATATATTGTACATTATATTATATACGAATAGGCCGCGTATTTTTTTTTTTTTTCAAAGGGATTAGCGAGACTATGATTTTCGTAAAAAAAAAAAAAAAAAACACAAAATAATAATAATACTAACGGCTGTCCTGATACAACGATCCGTTCGTCTCTCTCGATTACATCCTCGTGGATAAATAAAACGACTAAATAGCCGAGTTTATGATACGGTTCCGTTATAGACGTTTGAATTCGGCAGCGATACGCTAATAACACAGGTTAAATAAGTTAAATGACCAGTTAGGTCTATAATAATAATATTAATGCGAAAGTATATTATGATGCCAAGTTAAGGGGCAAAATATAGACTAATTGTTCACAATATCGATTCAACGATAAGATAGTGTTTGCCGCTCTTTTTGGATTCGGAGCGTAGCGAGGGATCTATTGGTTTTACTATGATGTGGTTTTTGTTTTTTTTTGTTTTTATATCTGTAAACAATTTGTTGAAAAGAAAACTTGCTCCGATGTACGGAAGGTGCAGTACAGGGGTCTTCAACCCGCGGCCCGCCTTGTCGTATTGTGCGGCCCGCGATCACATTTGAAATGCGGCTTGTTGCATTTCTATTTCTATAAAATTATAACGGCCAAACCGTCGTTATCGGAAATATGCGATAAGATAAGTTACATTACTTACCTAGGTATAAATGCGGGCTGTTGCCTGTTAGTAATCGATCGTGGAAAGAGCATAATAATACTCGTTTATATATAAAAGTTTCGAATTCATATATTTTCTTCGTAATATTTGCATAAATATGTCGGTGAATAAAAAACGTAAAATCTCGGATGAAAATCGCGTTTTTCAATATAACAATATAATAATTATTTTTCTATACAAGTTAAAGAAAAAGCTGTATGTTTGATTTGTCAAGAATCTATTGCAGCGATGAAAGAGTACAATTTAAAACGACATTATGGTACCAAACATGCAGCAACATATGATGTGATACAAGGACAACTTCGAATTGACAAACTGGCATAGTTAATTAATAATATGAAAGGTCAGTTTTTAAGTTTAAAAAAATTTCATAAAACTCAGAAGCCAGTGTTAAAGTTAGTTATATCATAGCACAAACAATTTTCCGCTAAATCGAAGTCGTTTACTGACGGTAAGTTTATAAAAAAATGCACGAAGGCGGCCTCTGGAATTGTATTCCAGTACAAAAACAACTTTTTTCCAAATTGAGTTTATCAGGAGTAACTGTAGCAAGGCGTACAGAAGAACTAGGAAATGATATTGAGAGTACTCTAAAATAACGCATTTCTAAATTTATTTTTTGTTCGCTAGCCCTTGACGAGAGTACAGTTCGTCAGATACTGCTCAATTAGCAATTTTTTTTCAGGTTGTGGATTCTAATTTTAATATCACTGAAGAATTAACCGGACTTTTTCTAATGAAAGGCATAACAAAATGTTGTGATATTTTTAATGCGTTAAAATCGACATTTAGCCGTTTTGACATCAAATTAAATAACCTTTCTGGAGTTATAATAGATGGAGTCCCATCAACGGTTAGAAAAAATGATGGTCTCGTAGTGCTTAATTGAAGAAAAAAAATGAGTGTACGTGGTGCTTTACAACTGATGTAATACCACTGCATTATCCACCAAGAAAATTTATATGAAAAATCAGTTGGTTTTCAAAATATTATGAAAGATGTTGTAAAAATCATAAATTTTATTAGATCAAGGGCATTGAATCAAAGAAAATTTAAAATCTTTTTAGAAGAAATAGACGCTGAAAAAGGTGATATAGTCTATTTTATAAATGCTCGTTGGCTCAGTAGAGAAAAAGTCTTGAAAAAAGTTTTTGATTTAAAAACCGAAGTTTTTGAATTTGCTGCAAGCAAAGGAAAAAGCAAAGGAGGTTTAAAATCAAATGTTGACAAAAATCGTAAATATTACGGCCTTTAAAAACATTTACTAATAACCGAACTTCGCTCCGAATCGATTTTCGTTAGCAATGGTTTATCGTTGGTTACAGGTATAAATTTATGAAATTTATGTATCCCACCTTCCCAACTACCAACTTACAACAATAGTCGCACCCGTTCCCAGTATCAATTTTTTTATTACATAGACTGTCATGTATTGTCGTTTGTAGTACCTATTTGATTATATTATCCATGCGGTATAATTTTAGCCGATTTGAGTGTTTTCCCTCCCCCCTTTTGTTTTTATTGAAATAAAAATCAACGGATATTCATCGCGCATGATATTCTGTCGGGTAAGACCGTAATAATACGTACGTATAAGTGAGACGTTTAACACCGCAACGAATTTATCATTCTTTTGTAAATGTCATTTTTTTTCTTGTGCATTCCCGAGTATTCCACGTGTACCTATGCAGATACCTATACAATGTACACGATATATGCGTAATGCAAAACGAGAAAAGCCAAATGCGAAAAGTGTTAATTATAGATAGGAATGGCTGCAGCAGTCGTTATAATATCTGCGCTTTGTTTTTCGGTTCCGAATATTATATTCTCGGGAGACTACCTCGTCGGACTATAAACGTAAAACAAACTCGTTTCGCGCGTGTACCGGAAAAGGGTTACCGAAAAATCTCGGACAATTTTACCGAATTCTCAGTCAAAGATTACCCCCTCCCATTTTTAATGTATGCGTATTTTTACATTATAATATTTTTATAAAATATTTAACACCGAAGAAAACATAACGAAATGTTGCAGTATCTGTGTTATTATAGTGTACTTATTCCATATAATAATGTTCGCTGCAGTCTTATTGAATATTCGGATACAAGTGGAGTTTAAATACTTTTAAAAATGTTCTTTCCACCGTAATTTAATTCTAGAATATAAAACAATTTTTATCGCGCTATCCGCCATGTATACATTTTATAATGGTTCTATGAATTTAAAATAAGATTTATTCATACTGCACTGATATAACTCAAAACTCATTGTAGTAATATTATCTACGATCTAATTTTCTATAATGTCAAGCTAATAAACTTATTTACTAATGTAATCAAATAGTATGCTAATATGCAACATCTGAAATTCTCGAACCTATTTAAATTAAATATCCGTAAATAAGTGATATTTAGTTTTTGTTATGTTTCAAAGTATAACAAATGTATTGAAAAAAAAGTATTTTAAATATTTTTAACAAGTATATACATCGGTTGCCGAAAACGTTTTTTCAGACGAGTTTTGTCTGAAACTAGTTATCTACTACGAGTACGTTCACGCCAGATTGAATTGTAAAATTGAACTAAAAAGTGTTTGATTATTTCTCAACTAATGAATATACTTATAAAATTACTGTGTATAATTCCTGACTACAAATGTTGCAAAGCATAACAAGTAGTTGGTACTCGGTTTTGTAAATTTCTCTGAGAAAAAATTTTATATTATATACATTGCATACATTATATTTTGTTCATAATTATTTTAGTATCATATTTCCATATTTCCCCAATTTTGGTCAAAACAAATAATATATTATAAATAGTTAATTAAAAAATAAATGACGGGAACAATATACATTGTATTATAATTAATTATTGAAAACAAGAAGTTTCTTAATACAACTGTGCAAAAACATTCGGTATATTTTTAAATCCTGAAAAGTTCTAAAGGTTTTAATTTTTCCAATTGATTTTGCACAGTGTTCCTCTAATACTGTCACGCTTTCAGTATCAACGTAAAAAAAAAAAAAAAAAAAATGTACATATATTTATTAGTGTTTAATTGGGGTACTTATTTATATTCATATCAAAGTATTTGCTATTGTTCATAATTAAATTAAACAAACTTAGCAAGTGCAGTGCCATAGCGAAGATTTATCATTGGGGAGGCAAGATTGTAGACATTGCTGTGTTAACGTTATTTTTGAGGTGCCAAAGCTCCATTTGAATTCAAATCCTGGTCGCGTCTGTTCGTGGCACCTGATTTTTCTACGGCACAGTAGAGGACACTCTGTGTCGTAAGAACCAGGGCGACAGGATCACGGAAGCTGAGAGGAGGGTCAACCTGTCACCAGAAGATTGATTACATCAAAACGACCCAATCAGTCCGACAATCTCCACCACGTTGGTCTACTCTGACTTGATCGTTACCTCAATCTCGTATGAATAAGTTAGAATTAAGTTAGCATTTGTAAGACGATGACGCGTGTTACTTCGCTCAACCCACGCTCTAGTTTTAATTAGTATTTTAACGTTCAATATGAGCCTGTCCCGTAAAGGGAAAAACAGGATTTTATTACATCACTTAATTATATTTAATAATAAACGACAGCTGCAGTGTGGAAGTATTAAAAAATTAGATTTCAATAATTAATGTTGCCGTAAATCAAAAAAAAAAAACTATATTTATAAATAGTATGTTATTAGCATATAAGAAATAATTTTTCGAAAATAATAAAAAAACCAAAACATTAAAAAAAAACTCCATTTTCACCTGATACATACAATGTGAAGAATGAATAAGCAATTTTCGCACGAAAAGTAATAAAACAACTCGGCCGTATAGTATAGGAATCCAAATTATACTGATAATTATTATAAATTAAAATAGCGAAAGGGCTTATTGGCAAACAACAAACAAATCAAAAAAATGTTTATAGTTTTATGATGTGTACTTGTATTTCTTAATGAGCTGCATGTAAAACGTGAAATCTATGGTACGTAATATTGTACAGAACTGCAAGGTCATAGTTCCGCAGATGTCATAGTGCTAGTTCCGTAAACATAATAACTCAGTTATCTATAACTGGTATTTTGTATGCATAAATATATAACCATTATAATTGTATTATTTAAAAAATAATGAAAATTGTTGAATTATGCACCAACGAATTGTGCAAATATCGAATAATAGGCGATGGAAAATAAATAGAAGACGTTCTAGGATAATAGAGACGGGTTCAGCCACTGTTATAGGTATAAAAAAACGATTCTGAGCGGAGTTCAGTAGATAGTGATGCTTTGTCAACAATAAATATATATGTCATATTATGGTAATAAAATAGGCAATATATATTTTCTTTAATAATATTTGTATTATGTTGTACTAATTTTCTCGGTTTTCCTTCATTTTTCCATGTTTTTCCCCGGTTTTTCATATTTTCTAGGAATACTCTTGATATGAAAATAGACAAATTACCTCTTTAATATACCTCTCCAGTCGGATTTTCTTTTAGAAACATTTCTACCATTATAAATTGGATCAAAATTACTGGTAGAAAAGTTGTCCACAGAAAAAAATTATCGTAATATTATTCAAATTTATATTAATAAATTTCGTACATTTTCCCGTGTTACCAACGTTTTTTTTTTCGGTTTTTCGCATCTGATGAGAAAATTCAAAAAAAACTTCAGTAAAGTTCCTCCCCACTATAGGCGCAACTAGGGCGGTCTTGGGGGGCTCAGCCCCCTAAATATTTCCATAGCCCTCTCAAATGAAAATAATGAATCTAATTATCTATGCCAATAATCTCCAAATAAAATATCTCAAAATAAAAGTATTTTCGACCAAGTTTTTATTACGCAAATAATATGGTCTAAATAAGATGGTCTAAATAACCCGAAAGCCTTGAGTTAATATTTGTGTCCGACATCTGTCATGATATTGTTGATAGTACTATCTAAAGCTGTGGTTGATAATAAGGTGATGAATAATAATACCTTAATTTATTATACTTTTTACATCACGATATCCGTATTCATGACAAAATCTTTTTTGTCTGTAATATATTGCTTTTATCAGGAGGCTTTACAAGACCGTTTTACAAATTTGGCTATTCTCAATATCGAGAGACATGTTGTTAACTCGTTAAATAATGAAGATATTTTAGAAATGTACTGTAATAAATACGGACAATTTGTATTAAAATAAAATTTAAATTATAGAATTGAATTTGTATATATGTATTTATTATCAATATGAATTACTGTGGATTTGCTTTTTTTTTTGCGAGGGGGGGGGAGATAATAATGATGGCTTGTCTTGCTAAAATTTTAACTGATTTTTATAGTAGTGTGTGTTGTCTTGGTATTCTTAGCTCCCCCCAAAATGTAACTTCTAGTTGTGCCTATGGTCCCCACACCAATTCAAAAAAATTGAGCGTAATGTAGGTAGTAGTTTTTTCTGGAGTTTTAAGACCAAATTCTAACGGAAATCGTAAAAATTACGGCATTCAAAACCTTCGCTCAGAATCGTATTTCGTCAGCAATGGTCGCGTACAAATATGAATTAAATAACTTTACGTATTCCGCCACTTCCCGCGTTCCCACCCACAAACAGCGGCACGCACGTCTCTAGCGTCAGCTCTTTTATATACGCATATATGTATATCAGTTATTTCGCTGCGTGCGCGAAAAATTATATCGTGTACATTGTACACCTATAATATAATACGCGGTATATACCCACTGATATCCCGAAGGTTTCATTTTTCAAAAAGGTCAAATCCAAAGGTGTTAATTAAACCGAGTGTAGAGACCGCGGAATTCGCGCGCGCACACGGTCCAGGTGCGCATGTATGTTGCATAATATAGGTATACGCGTACGCACAGTGTCCCTAGATTATCCTCGTGCCTTGTTTATAGCGGGCGTATATATAATAATAATAATAATGATAATAATTATTATTATTAGGTATTAAAATGCGAAATAAAATACGCGAATGACGTGTGCGGGAACGACCCGCGCGCAGAGCCGTGAACACCGGTGCACCGCGCGGGCCCGGTCTTGTGCGTATTATACGTCGGCCGAGCGCGTAACTCACACGATATTTTATACTACGGACGGTGTTGTGTGTGTGTGTGTGTGTGTGTGTGTGTGTGTATTATAATGTAATATTTAACCGCGGGGTTCTTGAAATACGGTTTTAATTAACCCGTCGGATTTACGTAGTGGCGTATAGCTGCACAGGTATCG